TTCAGAGCATCAATATCAATTCCAACATGTCAGCCCTTGCCATCACAGTTTTTAAGGTTAAAGTCATCTGAACGAAATTTTCTGAATCATCGCTGACACTTAAAAACGTTCAAAGCATTTCCATAAACTTCTTTGACATTCTCTCTGGCTACAGAGGCGTTGTTTTCGTTCTTGTAATCAAACAGCATTACTTACCGAATGGGTGTCTCGTCGTGTGCCATCACTATAAAGGATTAGACACATTATATAGGCTACACTAACGTGACGTATAGGCGGTTCTTTTAACTATTATACATGATGTACGTTTGGGGGGTGGGGGGTAATGAAAGTGTTCCAAAACGTGACATTAATTTCTTGACGACCCAATATATGTAGAATGCCAGTGTAAAGTAATGTACGTAAAATGATTGTCGTAAGTTTGCATGTTAAATAAGCATATTTTTCAGGTCAATAAGTGATTTCCATATAAAAGGTCAGGAAATGTACAAAAAATTATCAAATATAGAACTAACCAATTAGTGTTTTATATAAAATCAACTGTATTAAATCTAGCTTTTGATTACACACTGAGACATGATCTCATCGTGATTATGGTTCCACATCGTAGTGCTGTGACTTCATGTCCGTCTGTCATGGCGACCTAACAACTTGTAGTACTTTGACGTAATCGTTTCTGATGACATCATCGTCTCTACCCCTCTCCTATTGCGCGCCCTCTAGTGACACTTATGACGTCATCCTCTCTTATGACACTATCGTCTCTACTACTTCTCCCCTCTCCATTGCGTGAAGTCTACACTGGTGTGGCGCCCTCTGGCGGCGCGTCTGAAATGGGCCCTAACCACTTATGTTCCATATATAGTTATAACTCAACACACATTCCTTATGTTATATATATACAGTTATAACTGAACACACCTTTTCCAATGAGCTTGAAAGAAAACATCCATATTGGTTTCGACTACCAGGATTGTTGTCTCAATAATAACAGGAAATTTCAGATAGATGATCAAATATAATACCTACCTATAGATTAAGAAACCAGCAATGATTCCCATCAATATGATAGCTCCTGCTACAATTAGCGCTGATGCATACGGTGGAAATGGCTCTACAGGATTAATAAAAAAACTACTTAAGAAATTAAATTAAATTTCACTATTACTGTAATCATGTAATTAATTACTCACTACTCATTGTTGCACCAGTGCTCCTCTTGGAATGTTGAAAACTCACATTGTTGTGGCTCTTTGTTCGTTAACCTGCTGTAAACCTAGGTTATAGTGGCTCTTTGTTCGTGAACCTACTGTAAACCTAGGTTATAGTAGCTCTTTGTTCGTGAACTTGCTGTAAACCCAAATAATAGTGGTTCTTTGTTCGTGAACTTGCTGTAAACCCAGATTATAGTGGCTCTTTGTTCGTTAACCTGCTGTAAACCTAGATTATAGTGGCTCTTTGTTCGTGAACCTATTGTAAACCTAGGTTATAGTGGCTCTTTGTTCGAGAACTTGCTGTAAACCTAGGTTATTGTGGTTCTTTGTTCGTGAACTTGCTGTAAACCCAAATAATAGTAGCTCTTTGTTCGTTAACCTGCTGTAAACCTAGATTATAGTGGCTCTTTGTTCGTTAACCTTCTATAAATCCAGATTGTAGTGGCTCTTTGTTCGTTAACCTGCTGTAAACCTAGATTATAGTGGCTCTTTGTTCGTTAACCTTCTATAAATCCAGATTGTTGTGGCTTATTGTTGGTTAATCTGCTGTAAACCCAGATTATAGTGGCTCTTTGTTCGTTAACCTTCTATAAATCCAGATTGTAGTGGCTCTTTGTTGGTTAACCTGCTGTAAGCCAAGATTCTAGTGGCTCTTTGTTCGTTAACCTGCTGTAACCTCTGTTTAACTTCTGTATGTGTATTTGAAAATCTCAAATGTGAGGAATGTTTAATCTGTATGTGTGTGTGTTAATGTTGAATATGACGAACGTTTAACCTGTGTATGAGATAATGTCCAATGTGAGGAATGTTTAACCTGTGTATGTGTGTTAATGTTCAACGTGAGGAATGCTTAACTTATGTGTGTGTGTTAATATCCAATGTGAGAATGTTTAACTTATGTGCGTGTGTGTGTTAATGTTGAATGTGAGGAATGTTTAACTTGTGTATATGGTAATGATCAATGTGATAAATGTTTAATCTGTATGTGTGTTAATGCTCAACGTGAGGAATGTTTAACTTGTGTGTGTGTTAATGATCAATGTGATAAATGTTTAATCTGTATGTGTGTTAATGTTCAACGTGAAGAATGTTTAAGTTGTGTGTGTGTGTTGATGTCCAATGTGAGGAATGCTTAACTTGTCTGTGTTAATGTTCAATATGAGGAATGCTTAACTTATGTGTGTTAATGTTGAACGTGAGGAATGTTTAACTTTTGTGTGTGTTAATGATCAATGTGAGGAATGCTTAACTTGTGTGTATTAATGTTCAATATGAGGAATGCTTAACTTGTGTGTGTTAATGTTCAATGTGAAGAATATTTAAGTTGTGTGTGTGTTAATGTTCAACGTGAGGAATGTTTACCAGGTCAACATGCACGTGTGTGTGGATATGTGAATTTATGAGGAGTGTTCAGTAGGAAACAGGGATTTTACTTTCTCATTCGCTAGATATAAGTAAATTGTAGCCAACGAGCCAGCAGCACCATATGTTGTGTGTGTCCACGATAAGTTCTATTGCGTACAATTACAATATTAGAACTTCGAATGATATAGACTTGGACAACGTTCTGTAATCAAAGGAGGTACAGTATTGTATAACTCTATGATTATTCTCCAAAAGAATGATAGTTCTAGCCCTCACAGTTCTTCTGATGTTCGTATTGCAGTACTTTGTATGGTTCTAAGCTTTCACCTGCAACTGTTATTTACCTCTAATGGCAATCTGTATGGAGATCATTCCCAGACAACAGATGTCCCTAGAACAGCTTCACTCCGTTCAAGTGGTCGTTACATCTGTATTTTACGAAACGTTTTTTATTTGTGTGTGTGTATATATGTCGAAGTTTGTGTCATTGCTTACCTATTGCCTAACTTGTTTAATAATTGTAGTTCTGTCGATCCCTCTATTATAACAGCAAGGTGTTTCAGTCGAACTTTAGGCAGAGTAGACATAGTAGGATTCAGAACATTAATGGACTGCAATTGCTTGTTCTCAGTATAGAAGCCGAAACGTCGTCCTATTTTCATTCAACCGACAGTTGCAGTCCATTAAAGTTCTCAAAGTTATTATAACAGCAAGGTGTTTCAGTCGAACTTTAGGCAGAGTAGACATAGTAGGATTCAGAACATTAATGGACTGCAATTGCTTGTTCTCAGTATAGAAGCCGAAACGTCGTCCTATTTTCATTCAACCGACAGTTGCAGTCCATTAAAGTTCTCAAAGTTATTATAACAGTATTTTCAGTAAATAGTGGTTATAATTTACACAGTCTCACTTAACTGTGAATTATAAAAACTGGTGCAGAAGTGAAGGTAGCTTCATGGAGAGAGAAATCTTCACTCTATAAACTTTCTGACTTTACTTACTTTATAGTACGATGATTTTAGTATATTAACACATTCTTTAGTACATTGACCCAGATTCTTTATGGTATTAACACATTCTTTAGTACATTGACCCAGATTCTTTATGGTATTAACACATTCTTTAGTACATTGACCAAGATTCTTTATGGTATTAACACATTGTTTAATATATCGACCCAGGTTTTTTAGTGTATTGACACATTATTTAGTACATTGACCCAGATTCTTTGTGGTATTGACACATTTTTTAGTGCATTGACTCAGATTCTTTATGGTATTAACACATTGTTTAATATATCGACCCAGGTGTTTTAGTATATTGACACATTATTTAATATTTTTGACTCAGATTTTTTAGTGAATTAACACACGTTAGCTCAGTTTTATAATACGGAGAGTATTTTTAAACTTATTAAAAGAAGCGTTCAACATGACCGAGTTTTCCACTGAAGCATGAAGTAATTTCAGCATGACAGAGCATTTGTACCTTGTACTTGACACTGAGGATTTTCCCCAAAGAAACCGCAATATGGAGCGTCAGGGGGTGGTCCTTTCCCGCCTGGCCAGTGAATATTAACTCCGTCTATTGGTTGATATTCTTTACGAGGTCCGAGATAGAGAGCAACAGGCTAGAAATGATGAATCATAAAAGAACAGCTTTAATATAACTGAAAAGTTGGCTATAAATGTAATGCCTATAAACATCAAATAAAAATTAGGTAACTAGTTTAAGGATTATGATATTTTTCACGCATGTGACACACGGGGGAACATGGTAATAGTCCAAAAGATAACGCGTTTAATAACTTGCTAGGGGGAAAACTCGTACTTTGCGGATAAAAAACATGTTTTTTGTGTTTGAATGCACAAAGTTTATAAATGTAAAGGCAGTGCTGTGTATTTAAAGTAATTAAAACAGTTAAGTGAACTGCCCAAACTACTCACGGAACAAACCTGATTGCCGTGCAGGGCGTCTTAATGACTCCGAGGTTAAATGTAAGTGGGTTAAACCTATTCTACAACAGGTGACACACACCAAACACCTCTAGTGTGAAATACACTTTCAGCCGAATGGCCTGATCGAAAATGGCAAGACAATCGACTTGTCTAGTAAGAGACACCAGATCCAACGATGTTCTCAATACCTGGGTATCGGAGGCAAACTCAGAGATATTAATATCTAACGATGCTCTCAATACCTGGGTATCGGAAGCAAACTCAGAGATATTAACATCTAACGATGTTCTCAAAACCTGGGTATCGGAAGCAAACTCAGAGATATTAACATCTAACGGTGTTCTCAAAACCTGGGTATCGGAAGCAAACTCAGAGATATTAACATCTAACGGTGTTCTCAAAACCTGGGT